CCGGACAATAAGCACAGGTGCCCCCCAGGGATGTGTGCTCTCCCCTCTGCTGTTTTCACTCTACACCAACGACTGCATCTCGAAGGATCCCTCTGTCAAGCTCCTAAAGTTTGCAGATGATACAACGGTCATTGGTCTCATCCGAAATGGTGACGAGTCAGCCTACAAATAGGAGGTTGAGCAGCTGGTCCTGTGGTGTAGCCGCAACAACCTGGAGCTGAACACGCTCAAAACAGTAGAGATGACAGTGGACTTCAGGAAGAGCCCTCCCACCTTACCCCCCCTCACCATACTTGGCAGCACTGTATCAGCAGTGAGGTCCTACAAGTTCCTGGGCTCCACTATCTCCCAGGACCTGAAGTGGGCATCCAATATCAGGACCATCATCAAAAAGGCACAGATGTACTTCCTGCACCAGCTCAGGAAGTTCGACCTGCCCCAGGAGCTGCTGATACAGTTCTACAGAGGAATCATTGAGTCTGTTCTCTGCACCTCCATCACTGTCTGCAGTCAGGACTGCACAAAAGGTCAATGGTGCAAGCCTGCACTCCATAGAGGACTTGTACACCTCACAGGTCAAAAGGAGGGCAGAGAGGATCACTGCAGACCCCTACACCCTGGACACAATCTTTTCATACTCCTCCCCTCTGGATGGCATTACAGGTCAGTGTACTCCAAGACAACCAGGCACAAGGACAGTTTCTTCCCCGAGCTGTCACCCTGATGAACACTTAACCAACGACAGTATGACTGGACAATAATCCTCAGTGCAATACCTGTAAATATACCTTGTAACAGATTATACAGATCCGTACAGGGGCCTATTTCAAGAAGGCGGTTTTGTCGAAACTCAGAGTTTGTTAACCCCGAAATGAGGGCAACTCGGAGTTTTCGGTTTCAGAAACGGAGGTAACTTAAACCCGTGAAGCGGGGTAAGTTAAACCCGTTTCACAAAGAGAGGTAATCTAAACTCAGAGTCAGTTACTACGGCAACTTACTCTGTGAACCTAACCTGCTGGCGAGCAGGTTTTGTTCGGGAAACTCAGAGTTTCCTCCGGGTCTCCGCCCCTTTTTAAAGTGAAAGGTGTTTAATACCTCATTTAATCTTTCAGTACATTCATAGATTGCACACGTTTCCGTCACGCAGAGACCAAAATGGCGTGTCCATTCATAGAGGATCCTGTAGATGAGGACGCTGTATTAATTCGCAGGGAATTGCATTTACGTCGGGAGAGGATATTGAGGCCACGAGTTGATTTTTTGTCATATCCACATGTATTTTTATTTGAGC